TTATGCCAATATGTCTGAAATGGAATATCAATGTATCACCGGTATGGTTCCATAGCTCTGAAAACCACTTGAGGTATGAAGGGATAAGTGAGCTGAATGGTGGTACGGGGCAAATGATTGATCTTTTTCCACGTACCTGTTGATTCATTCTGTGGTGTCTCTGTGAGGGTTTGTTTCCACTCAGCATGAATAGGAATTTTTTGTTACATGGAAAATCCATAGGGATAACACATATTCGTATATTAAATGTCAGCTTTTGAACTGGACAGTATAAGAAACACCTTATTAAACTCAAAGCGAACAGAAATCAGAGTGTTATTTCTGAAATGATTGCGAGTATTGTATTGGCTCTTAATAATTTCATAAATGTATCAAGTCATCTACTATAGTATTAGTTCAATACATGCAGACCACTGTTTACATTGAAGATTTAACCAGTAAGGGTTTTCAGACTTTGCATCTAATATTCAGGAAAAAACTTATTTATGTTTGTCTTGCATGAGACTTTAAACTATTAATCAAACTTTTTTGCTACTGAACAGGAGGGGGGAAAAAATTCCTAGTCTGTAATGTCTCATTTGTCTGAAGGTCTAGAATGGACAGCTAGTTATAGTTGTTCTCCTGTTTTCTCCCCATAGTGCCATTAGGCAGTAGTGCAACTAAAAATACTGAGTTTACACTATTTTTAGTGAAGTGTTACTTCCCAAAAAAGGTTTAAAAAACAGAGAAAGTGATTGGGATCAAAACTGGCCCCTCTGACAGTGAGCTGGCTCAGTTGTAGGAAGGCTTTCTACTCATGAGCAAGTGTTTTTCAGTTGTACTAAATCTTCCTTGGAAAAAAATACCTTCATTTGCAGAGGTGCAAATGTATAGTTGCAGTATAGTTTTTTCTTTTTTAAAACTAAGGTTAAAAGGCAAAAAAAAGTGCAACATTTAGATACTCTCCACCACTTTAGATAGTTTAAAACCATAGATGCCTAACAAATAACTGAGTTCCTTTGGATTTGAAAATATGTGTGCAAGTGTGCTTTTTAATGTGTGTGGTGTATATATGAGATGGAGCCCAGAAAAGGGGCAAGGAAGCATTTCTTCCTGAAATGGTATTACTTTGTCTCCCAGATATAATCAAATTAGAGGTAAGTCTATAAACATACACAACATTACAAGTTGTGTTTTAATTAATGATTGTGTAAATAAGCTAATTGAGTTTTAGTTTAGCTGTTTGGTCTGTTTGGAAGGTTCTTGTATTGCCTGTCCTCTTGAGGATACAGTGCTTTGCTCTTGTTTAGTGCTTTAGTTGTTTGTTTAGAGGAAAATCAGTTCCAGGCCTGGGCTCTTCTGCTTAGTCCAAATTCTAACTTGTTTGCATGTTCAAGATGTGTATATAAGCTGATTAGTGCTGTAACTATTAATTGCTTGGAAATATCAGCAACTTCATGTGTGCAGGCAGGTGCTGAAAATGATGACCTGTTCGACTTAAGTAGTGAAGAAAGTTATATCCAACTATTCTTGGTCTGAGTAGGTTTTTTTAATGAACTGTACACAATGTAGCCTGTTTGTATTCTATTCTGATATGAGCCCTGTTATAGAAATGAACTCTTCTTGATGTGATGGTTCTTTGCTAGCCTTGATCAATGATTTTTCTTCATGCTGGTGCTCTTAATGCAGTACAATTGCCCTCTCTTTTTGGAGACAATTACAGGTACCATATGTTCATCCACTCTGTCTTCCATTTTGTTATATAATCTTGCAACTGTTCAGACTGTGTTTTGCTTGTCGATAAAGCTTCACTTTTCAAGTCATCACTCTGATATCTCTTAGACCAGTGGCTACATAACCTCAAGGTACAGGTTTGTTCCCTTTGGCTATACCTGAGCCTGTTGACTTCAGCTGCTGTAATGTTGTTTCAGCTTTTTGCCTACTTGGTCACCTTGAGGTTGCTGATGGCGAAGCACTGGTAAAGCTGTGAAATTGGCTAGTGACAGCCTGGAGCTAAAACAAGCAGTATTAAGCTGCAGAGTTGTCTGTTTTCCAAATAAATCTGATACCTAGTCATTGAAGGTTCCCTATACTTGACCTAGATTTACTTAGTTGTGTTACTATGAAGAAAACTCCTTTTACTTACCTTCTTCACACAACATACAAAGGAATTACTTGCTTTCCAGAAGTCTTGCTATCTTCTCCAAAACAATCCCAGAGGTTGGTAGAGGGTTGATTCTTTGTTTAGAAAGAAGATGACTGAGGGAGGAGAATGGATTGGAGGTCTTGAGCTTTACAGAGTAAACTTTAAGTTGGGGGGGAAACAACTTCTTAGTTAAGAAATGCTGCTAGTGAATCATGAATCAAGCAGTAAAAGTCCCAAGATCCTGCTGGGGAGAGATCTGAGCAAAATCTAGGTGCCTCTTGTCTCTCATCAGATCAGTGTGGTGAATTACTCAGATAAATATCTATTCCTGTCTTCCAGCAGCTGCTGAATGTAGCAGTGGTCCGCTTTTTGAGATTGGACCAAATTTCCACATTAAGCACTGAGAATATCGGAAGGTATGTAGGGCACTGTAACAATGTTTATCATGATTGGTACGTGAGTAATGACTGAAGGAAACAATTGGCCATTCTGAAAGAAATATTGAAGGACACGATGGTCTTACTAAGTGAAGGATCATTATGAAGAACAGAAATTTACTTGCTCTCCTTTGGCTAAGACACAAAAAAAGGCAAACAAAACCCCAAAACTGAACCAAACAAAAAAACTTATTTGTGGAAATGAGATTTTTGCGGTAGGTATTACAAAAACTTGCTAATAGAAGAACAGAGAAGATATTAGGCTGCCTGGGAAAATTATTTGCGGTCCAAGCTGCTTTTGACTAGTATCTCCAAACACTGTTCAGGCAATACAGTATGGGTGATTCTACTTCAATGAAGTGTCTGGGTGAGCTCTGGCAGAAGTTCCTTTCTGCTATATTTTTCTAGCTTACTTCCAAGAGCACAGTAAGTGTGCTGATTTATATGCCAGTAGTGCTGGTTTTCTAACAACAGAATCTACCAATAAATGTTACTTCCTCTATATGTGCATGTTAACCATACGTTGTTAAGTATAGATAAGCTGCACGTAGCTCATTTTTCTTCAGGTGTGTACAATGAGCAAGACTTCTGTCTGGTTATTATTTCTTAAAGCTAGATGATTTCAGCCTAGCTGGTTATGAAGCATTTGTGTACTTGAATATGGTTTTGGTTGCCATTAATATGTAAAGCATATACTAAGTAAGCCACAACTATGGCCTCCTTACAATGTCAGGAATGCTAATATTGACCAACTGTTTCAGAAGTAATATAGTTGACAAGATAGAGAAGCTTTCTAAGGTACTATTTTCTATCTAGAAGTTAGGTTTCTTCACTCTCTAACCCATATATATTCTAATGGACAGGAGGTCTGTGGTTTGTACATCGTTTATGTACTTGCAACTTTATTGATGTGCATTTGTTCTCTCAAATTGAGGGCACTTCTGTCAGGCCAAAGCATAGTCACACTGTTGGGAACATTGGTGTTTGCTATGTGTGTTCAGGCTCAATGCGTTAGATCATAAAGCTGTCACAGAGCCCCAGTACGTACGGGAACAGTGTTGTTAGGAAGTGTTAGAGGTATGGGTAGGGCAGAGAGCAATGACCATCTGCTACCTGAGAACCTCTGGTTTTATTATGGAGTTTCTGGGAGACCTGACTGAAGAGTTAGTGATAGAGACACTTCTCAAAACGCTTTGATCACTAGATTGCTGTCGGCTTTAAGGCTTTTTTGTTACTGTAATAGCTATGTGGTGCTAATGAGTTTTGAAACTTAGTGTTAAGCAGTCTGTAAAATTATATTGATCTTGGTGGTGGGACTGTTCTTTGGGAACTAACAAAGGGCAAATAACTGCAGAATAAAGTGACTTTCTAAGACTGTTTTTATAAGTAGGAGAGGGAATTGGGTAGCAGGACCCAGCCAGATGGTAAGCTGGGTTTTTTTTCCCTATTCTAGCATAGCCTATGTTCCAAAGGACTAAAGGGCATAATGAACCAAGCAATGGACTCCTATTTGAGTTGCAGAAGAACTTATTGCTGTATATGGCTATGTTTTTATTAGCAAGCCATGCTGAACAGTAGGAGCAGACCTACAGTTGACACTGAGTTTTTAGGGTGTTCATGCGATACATGTTTGGGGGGATTTTGCTTACTATTAGGTCTTGTCCTGTGAATAGAATGCTAATTAGTTCCTGATGTACATCTAGCTATCAGGCCTTGCTAGACCTCTGAAATAATATTTTGGAGATACATACTGTGAAAAACAGGGTTTAGGCCTCTCAGAAAAAGTTGATAGTAAAATGTATAGGCAGTGTGGACTGTCAGTTGGAAAAATCAGTCAGCAAAACAAGCTTTTGTAGACAAGTCCTAAATAATGCGTTTAATTTCACTGAAAAGCACTTTCTTTTGTTCTGGGTAGTCTCATTAGAAGTTTTTAATTTTTCAGTAGGAAGTACTTTGATTAATTTTATCAAATTAAGAAACAGAAACATGTACTCCCTTCTACTCTCAGTACTGTACAATTAAATTCATTTTCAGTTAAATACTTTTGTGCAGTATCAGACTCGGCATTTATCTATATGATGCTTGTGAAAACTCTATACCGTATAACTGATTTTGGATTTTACTTTGGTTTTAACCTGTGGCTTATCTAAAATCAATGTCATGTTAAAATAAAAAAACTTTTTAATCTTTCTCAAACGTGCTTATGCTTAAATAAAAAAAGTCAAAATTAGTATGTGTAAATAACACTTCCTAAATTGACAATAGCATCTTTTTTTCCACCAGAGATTAGCTTGTAAGAAGTATTCTAAATGGTAGTCAGTTAAGACACTTCACAAGGCAGAGTGTATTTTGTGATGACTAGCATTTTTGTTATAAACCAAACCTGTTCTGCAGCATTGAATTTTGACTTGTTTCCACTGCAACTTTTCTTTTTTCAGAAAGAACATTTTGCTTTGCAAAACCAGTACAGAGAGAAAGATGCTGGAAACTTGCAGCACATGGTAAATAATAAGATGGCTTGAATTCCTGATTGAAGCTTCAATTTCATCTTGTTCCTTGAAATTAGCTTATAAGGATGTTTTTCATGAAGAGCAAAGTATTTGTCCATCCTAGTCTAACGGTTGGATGTGTGGGTTTTCTATCCATGAAATGGAAAGAGTCAATATCGTTTTAATATCCTGTATTTCCTAGGTAGTTTTGCTGACTAATTTAAATACATAAACACTAGAGCTTTGAAGTTCTAGCTGAATAAAATAACAAAGCACAGGAGTGCTGACATACTTCTTCATAGTTTGTTTTGCGTTTTAACAAAGCACAGGAGTGCTGACATACTTCTAAAACGCAAAACAAACTATGAAGAAATATTCAGCCTTAAAATCTAACTTCCTTTGAAACAAAAGTTTGAGGTTAACTCTGAGTAGTTACTAACAGTTCTGTCATATGTCTGTTAGTGATTAGAATTTTTAACTTCATGTTTCTTGATTCATAGGACTGTTTTAGAGATCATGCACCTTTTATTTTGCTTAAAGCTTTAACAAGAATAGGAATTGCAGGTTCTGTACATGAACTATGAAACTGATTACTTCTTGTGTGCGTTTAGAAAGCTGTGAATGGAAGGCAACTTACTTGCGAGGCTGAAGAGCCACAGGAACAAGAAGGTCTTCAGCATATGTATCCTGTTTATCAGCAAACATACTACAAAAATTGGAGCAGCAGATACCCGCAAAACTCGGGACCTGGAAGAGTCTACATCAATCCAAGGGAGCATTATGTATGATTCTGTACCCAGGTGTCTTAACTTTTAAGATACGAGGGTTTTAATATCTGTTGACTGTATGACCAATATGTCTCATTGGCTTTCACCTCTAAAATAATCAGTCTTTTTTCCTGTGGGAAGAAATTGCATGGAGAATTTTATATAGGTAAACCCTATGGAATTTGAGACTTAACTTGCTTCTAGTCTTTGGTATGTATTTGTTTTTGTAGTTATATCAACCTGCCAAAAGAGGAGAGCCATTTAGCTTTATTAATCTTCGTAGTCATAAGACATATAGATTAGGTGAATTGGTTGGCATGTGCCAAAATGTACTTAAGCTGTTTCCCTGGTTATTTCTGGGAGCATTCCCTCTCTGAATGGCTATTTTACAATAACCTTACCTATGTAGAAGTGAGTAAGTATGAGCGAAACAACTGAATCCCTGGTGACATAAGCAGTCTCAGGCTGAGAGTCATTTTTTTGCATCTTAGAAAACTTGGGATAATTATCATTTTGACTGGCCTTAGCTATTGATTTCTCAACTAGGTCTACCTCTCTGTCAAATGAGCAACTAGACTACCTCTCAAATACTGACTTGCTGTTTCATAATGTGTGTTGTGTGTCTTCCCACCTCGTTAAAAGTAAAGCAATTTCCTTACATCGGAAACTTTTTGTTTTGTATTGATCCTGGCTGTCAGTTGCTGTACTTGCTGGTTGTAGTTTCACAGTAGGTCTATATGAAACTTAGTTGCAGGAAGTAGATGACTAGGCAGACGAAACTTCCTGAAAGTGTCTTTATGTGTAGCTGTATCTTACCTACAAATTGCTATTTAGCCATTTTTTCCAAGTATGACTCCCATGTTAAGTGTTGCAGAGTTTGTGTTGCTTGGTAATAAATACATTTCACGTTCTTTGGTTTCTTCTCAGTTCGCAAGAAAACTGCCTATGTTGTTCTTACGTCTTAGCAAGAAAAGGAAAGTTTCAGTAGACTTCAAGTAGTTTTCAGCACTGTCCTTTAATCTTAACCAGTAGTGTGAAGTAACTGGACAATGTCCTGATGTTACCAGTGCTAACAGGATTCCACATGAAAATTTGAATGTGGGGCAAGGTTTGAAAAATGTGCTCAGGATCTTTTTAGAAAAATAAGTTTTCCTTTGGAGTAAAAAAAAATATTTAGCAAGTAAAAAAAAAAATTATATATAATGTATTAGTGCTGAAATGAGCTCACAGGACAATCTTGAAATATTTCAAGACAGCAGGAAATAAGACACTAAAATTTGCTGGAGAAACTTAAACAACTTGTGTCCGTTCTGTACACATAAGTACAGAATAATGATTTTTCAGTCAGATGACCTTAAGACAAAATGTTGAGAAGAATGGCTGTGTTGTACTGAACTAGCTTTTGATACAGGCTCAAACATTACTTCTGTGATATTAGTGTTGTCTCTGCAGATGATTGGATTTTTCAGAGGGAAGAGTCATAGTTGTAGAAGCAATAGAATTGAAAGCTAGTATAGTTAAGTGTGCTGCAGGCAGGATGCCGTTATAAAACCTGTATTCAACCTGCGTTCATCTCCGTCATAGTAAAAGTTAGAGTTCCCTATCCACAATAGGGATAGGCAAATATTTCTAGTTTGTTACAGGTAGCAGCTAGAAGATTATGGCTTAGGTGCCCATGTTCTGGACACTGCACAGGCAGACATTGACTGTTCTCTTGTTGAGCAACTTTCTGTTACACAATGTGGATGAAGTTGGCAGCTGAAGGAATGGCAAAGAAAGGTTGGAGAGAACCTGTTTCTCGGGAGCTTTCTTTGAACCACTGTCAACTTGCTTTTCTGTTAGGGACCGAGCACATTCATGTAAATTGAGCAATTGTTTAAAACTTTAAAGCCTCCTGCTGTATTTGAGACCTAAAAGAAGGGCTTGTTTGTGTGCCCCAAAAATACGTTTTCCAATAATGTCAGTTTAAGTAGCTACCTCTTTCCACAAGCATTGCCTCACCTATCCTTACATTACTGCAGCTCCAAAAAACATCTACTGCCAGAACATGAAAAGAAAAGTGTCTTGGCCAAATGTTAAAGCAAATAGAGTGACAGAACATTGAGATAAACTATATTGCTTGAGGTAATTTGATCAATATCACTGAGAACTTCATACAAAAAATATTTGGATATACATTATAGGGTGGTTCAAAACAGTGTTATTGTGATAATGCTTCCATTACATTCACTAGTACAATGTGATACTGAGCAGGTGATCATTTCGGTTCCTATTATGTTGGCAGATGATGTAAAAACCAATTATTTTGGGTTCAGACCTCTTCTACTGCTTTTTATTCTTATTTGCAGAAACATTTTTGTTTGAAGAGTTGAAACTTTAGGGGAAGGAGGGAGGAAGGAAGAATGCTATCAACAAAGCTATAATCGCTTTTTTGAATTTGTAAAAATAGCTTAAAAAAGAAAAATGTAGTCCAACTGTGTTGCCCAAGTTTATGTATTAACAAACTAGAGAGAGCTTGAATTGCAACCTACCCGTCAGCATGTAGTTTGCCCTAAAGTCATTAGGGAAATATATTATCATGTTTATTACCGGTGAGAAATGGTTTCTTTGTAATCTGTTCAGGGACATTTAGTGTGTTAGGTTTTTTTGAAATGTTGCTTGCAGTCTTAAGTGTGTCTGGATTCTGGGGGCGGGGATTTGACATAGAATGCTCTGAAGAGAACAGAAAAATGTCTGCTGATTAGGATTTCCCACAGAAAGGATTGCACATATAGAAGTAAGTTTGATCTGCTTTTTTAACATGTAGGAAATGTCTTTTTTTATTTTTGTACATTTTCAAATGTTTGTATTTGTATTTTGATTTGAATAAAAACATTCAAAATAGAAACTTTTCATGTGTTGTTTAGATTGAAGATTGCTTAAGGTATGGAAAACGCATCCACTTTCTTGGTGATAATGTTTCTTCCTCTCTGGTTGTATAAGCAGAGCATGTGGGTTTTTCCTAACAGTGCCACTTTTGAATATCTGTGGTGTTGGCTGCTGAAATGAGATATCCTTTCAACATTTGTTTTATTTAACAGGGGGCATATAGTACTTTGTGGAAATGCAGCTCTTAGGTAAACTGAACACCCAGAATCACTGTTGAGGGAGGTAGGAATGGGGGGGAAGGGTAGTAATTCACATCTCTAGCTTTGATAAATGTAAATTGTCCTCTGCCCAAGTATCTTTAAATTCTACAAGCTAGTCTAATTATAGAAAATACAAGATTTAATGTTTGGCGTACATCCAAAATGTTTGTAGATGTAATACAAAGGAAAACTAAGAAAATGTACTAACTAAAAGAAGGGAAACACTTAATGAGATTATTAAAGGACCACTGCTGTTAGGTCACAAAATGATCTAACGTATTGGGTATCCAGCTCAAGGAAAGCCCAAAAAAAAGGTGTGATAATTCATGAAGAGTGGAGCGAAAGTTTTCACCTTCGGAGTTCTTTAGCTGCTTTCTGGCAGTGTTACTGCTATTTCCTTCTCTGAGCGATACAAATTTGAGTGCAGAATGCTGTATTGTTGTATAGATAAGTGCTTAAAATATGCACGGTAACTTCTTAGAGTAACTTCAGGTCTGTGGCATCAATCTGAACCACTGTGGTGTTTGCAGGCTCTGCATGCGAGTGCGGTAGCAACAGGTAGTAACAGAGCAGATGAAATTGTTTTGACAACTTAGGTCACTTCAGAGATTACTGACTGGGAGAGCTAAAGCTCCGGGCAAAAAAACCCAAAATGGCCTTGGTAGTTCTTAACTGCTTTCAGTTGCCTAGTGGGAGGTGGCCTGGGGTTTTTTGTCCACTGGTGGTACATGTCCAGGGTATTGGAAGACCGGGTTTGGCTTTTGGAAACGTGTTTCTTCCCAATAGCAAAGCTAATGCTTCACTGCTGCTTACACATGTAACCCATCTTACCAATATCATCAAAATCTTGTTTGAAATTACACAAGCTAGCCTGCATTTTTAGTGGCGTTTCAAAGCTATGTTACCTGGTTTTATGCAACTGGTGGTGTAGATCTCTGGAATACTGGGGAAACTTAGAAGAACCTGCTTGGTGTGGAAAGATGTAAATGACCTGGCCAGTTGTTATGAAGGTGGTTAAAGATAGTTATGTTCCAATGAAGTGTTAAAAAGATACGTAAAAGTTATGGTAAACTGTTAAGGTGGTGACAGCTAGTAAAAAGCAAAAGCTGAAGAGTGGTTGAATCTCAGCAGGATAACACATAATAAAATTTTTGGTTTATTCCCCTGTGGAGGTAGATGGCTTAGAAAATTCAGTGGCATTAACACCTACCACCTTTTTTTTTTTTTCTCTTTTTTTGTCTTGCTGTGTAACTGAGATAATCTATTTTGAAAATATTTGTAAGCAGTGAAAAATTGCTGGGCAGGAATGAGTGACTTCGCTAAGAAACCAGTCCGTGAAAGGACCTAATTGTGGAAAGTGCTTTCTGTAAGAACTTTGGCACTTGAAGTTTAGGCAATTTTTAGGTTATTGCTGTTCAGCACTCTGCTTCTAGTATCACCAGCTGCTTTGAAAAGTAGAGGCCTATGATTTGATCCTTAGCCAAAAACTGGACTTGTAAAGGAGCCTACCTGTCAAAGTACTGGTTCAAAGTTCTAATAAACCTCAGAGTTCCTTTCTGACAGAAAGTAAAGATTTGATGTTTCTGTATTTATTGAAGAACATGGCATTGTTCTTGGTAATCAGCTTAATACCTTTAGCTGAATGATACTGAAGAAAATGCACAAAAAATAGATTGTGAATCTTAGTAATAATTATTCAAACGATGTGAAACCCAAGTAGAGATGTGTTAGGCGTTTTAATCTGCACTGACAACGCCTCAATACGGCTTTTCCTAGTCGTCTTTTGTGATCTTACGTGAGTTGATTTTATGCTGTATCTAAATCTAGATCCTTCAGTTGCCAGTAGAAAATAAACTCTACTTAGGAGCCTACAAGTCAAGCTGTGATTCTTCTACCCTTTGTGTGACTAGTAATCAAGACTGTACAATTGGAATTTAGCTCACTATTTTGAGACCAAGTTGGAGACAAAGTAGGCTCCAGCTTGCTCACCAGCTTAGACGAATTTGAGTTTATTGTGCAGGGCTACACACAGAATGCATAAAGTATGCTAAATATATTAAAAAGTCACTTTAATTTGACCGAGTTTAGCCACAGATTTACTGTATTCCAACTTGAAATGTACTATTCCACTGGGATAAATCAGAATTATAATCTAACACAGATTTACGGGAAATAACTTTTTTAATTCTGATTGCCAGAGTAAGAAATCTAAATATTTGCCATTGCACTGCACCTGAATTTGTTCCTGTTCTAGTAAAATCTTACTTTAGTGGGTTCTGAGTTTTTATGATGCTTTTGACAGTATATCAGATATTCTTACTGCCCTTAATGTAACTTGATAATTCAGATGTCTTTGGCTAAATCCTTGTCTGCCACTTTTGCCTCTGGTTCCAGTCCAGTGCCATATGACTTCGATCTGGAAAGTAACTTCATTTTTGCATCGATGTGGAATAACAATCTGGCTGTATCACTTAAGGCTTGTAAGCAAAGTGTTAAGAGATACTATAAAGAATTCAGCTGTCTTTTTTTTTTTTTTTTACTTGTCCTTTTTCTGTTGTTCAATTTTATTTGTTTATTACTGTCTTGGATCCCTGAAATCTTGCTCCTAATGGTCTTGCTGCATTAGGTCCTGTCTCTAGGTATGGTGTGTCTGCAGTTTCGATCTTCCTGACACTTCATCGTGCCTGTCCTATTAAGAAGTTTCTTATAGTTCTCTGTATGACTTGAGATATTATGTGCTTGAACAGCTCCTTAGTTGACAGCAAAATATTTTGGGGCCAGTGTTTTTGTTTTTTTTTTTTTTTACACAATTCATCTCATAACAAACTTCAGAAAGTGAAGTTTTTCTTGCTGATTTATGGCTACATGCAGTATTAGGTCATGTGCAATACAGCAGTGTACCAACAAAAGGTGCTTCAGTCCTACCGGTTGCCTGCTGGCTTGTCAGGGGAGAGACTGACAGCTATTAAAAGATTAAGTGTGCTCTCTCCCGTCACCATAGTATATTGTACTCATAAGAAAGAGTCTACAGATCTACATAAGTTTTCTGAACTGCTGTAGTAATTTTGGAATAATTACTTTTAGGTACTATTTGTGACAAAAGCTGAACTCCTTGTCAAGTATAGTAGATGAAAACATAGAGCAGTTGGATTTCTGTCTTCTGTGACTAAATTTGACTCTTTCAAGACCAGACTTCAGCTACTGATGTGACTGCTTCTATTAAGCATAAAAACTGAAGCTGCCTGAGTTTAATCCCACAACTAACAAAGTTCTTTCCTTCTTTGACGTGAATTGAGAGGAAAGAGAAATTGCTATGGCAAATAAAATGCCTTTGTATTGATCCAGGTAGCTTTAAAATCCAGATTGACTGGGATAGCATCATTTGTAGATTGGTTCATCCAGGTAGGCTAAGCAAATGGACAAAAGGCTTAAGGTTGTCTGAGGAAGACTTGCGCTGTTTCTGGGTACAGCGCTTTGTTACTAATGCTTGTGACTTGACTTAATGTGTCACTGTCAGCTGGATCCGTTTCCTGTGGCCAGGAATATTGCTGGAAGCCCTGGATTAGTAACAGATAACAATTACCGGGTAAGGCAAAAAGTCTCATGTGTTTGGATGTGTTTTGTGTTGGCTCTTCAAGCACTTTTAAAACTGGCTACTAAAAATCTGGGTCCTGAAAGTCCCACTACCTTTAACTAAAATGTCAAGACATCTGCTTTTACACTTCCCCCTGCCTTGGAGATCAGGAATTCTTCCTGGCTGGACTCGATGCCTTAAGCCATGTGGCGCAGATGTATCTACATACAACAAAGTTGAGCGGTCTCTGATTTTCCACAGTTGGCATGGCCGTTATCAAGGCTTGTGTCTGGAGAGAAAGATGACTTTCCAGAATCTTACTGCCGGATTGTTCATTTGATTAGCCAGCAAAGCCCCTGGTGTCCTCTGATTTGTACACTGGATTGACTAGCCTTTACGTAAACCGGAACCTGCAAGTTCTGCCTGCCCTCTGCAATGTGGATCTGCCTCATTTCTGTTCTTTAAAAGGGAGCTTTACAGATTCAAGTGTGTTTCATTCAGCTTCATTCAGGGTTATTAAAGTAAGTCAAATTGAAAAGGTCTCGGACACCTTAAAAACCCCTACTTTGTTTCTGTTAATTCTGCAGCTTGTCTGTCTCCAATCCCTTCCCTACACCTTTTCTCCTTCTGCATCCGTAGCATGCTTCTTTGCCCAGTCATCTCATATCTCATTTTTTCCAGCAGGGAGAGGCAATAGTCTCTCCCCTAACACTTCCTTTCTCTTTATATTCTTGGCTAAATATTTCCCACTAATATACCTGGCTAGGGCTTTATTAAGGAGAAAATATCTCATGCATTTCTAAGATGGAGAATAGGTTCTATGTTGTACCATATTTGTCTCTTATCCTTCTGCCTGGCTTCTCAGGACAGTGTTAACTAATTTTCAACTCTATATGGAAATGGTTGAGATTCGATGTTGCATATTCTTTTTTCCTCCTCTTTCATGTTCTATAACAGCATGAGGGATGTGGTGTATATATAATGTATATGTATGTGTGTAAGTAGGTATTTAACTATGAGAAATTTTCAAAGTGGAAAATGGGAAACTCTTCGACATCAGCTATTCTCTTTATAGCTGGAAAAATGAACAAGATGCAGCATTGCAAATGGTTAAATACCTTACTTTCAGGTGA